GAGTAATTTGAGACTCAGAGGTGAGGTGATTTGCCCAAGGTACCTTGCAAGTGGCAGAGCTGGAACCCAACTGGAGTCCAGGTCTGTCTGGTCCTCTCGCCCTACCTCGCCCATTAAAGCACAGAGGTTTCTAGGCTACTTTCCTAATTTAGATTGCTGGCCCTGCTAAGAATATGGGGCTGTGTTGACAGAATGCTAACACTGATTAATTTATTGTTCTTTTATTGCCTTATGCTAGTATAGCTGTGTGCAGTGTTTCATAAAGAGAATGGCGAAGCAATTTGCAAATATAAAATACAGATGCTTAATTTGAATTTCTGTTTCAAATTTATTGTAAACCAAGTCAGGTTGTTTATACCATAAACACCCTAGTGTCTATTATAAAGATCCCTGGAAACTGCTCTTAGGTTCTAAAGTGGTATATTTGCTTACATTTCTCAAGTACGAGGTAAGAGGAGTCAACAGTGCCTTTTTGGGGGTGCAAGGTCCCTACAAGGGTGTGTTGGAGCTGCTTCCTCTGGGCTTATGTTCATGCACATCTGTTCCCAGCTCTCAGTGACATCACATCCAGCTTGAAATCAACTAGGATGGGAGTATTGACACCATGGAAAGTGGCAAACCCTTGTGGGGTTTTAATTTGTAATCAAAGCTCCTTCCATCTGCTTTCTGCCCCTCCTCCAAATGATTTAACCTCCCTGTGCCTTGTGAATAGCAAGATTTCTTCCTTTCTAGGTTACTCTGAAGATTTAGTGAGATAAAGCACATGGCACTCCTTCTATGTTTGTTTATTTAAATAACAAATAACATTGAAAAAAATCAAACGAACAAAAAAGTTTTCAGTGAAAAGTAAATTTCCTTCTCACCCTGGACCTCCACTCCAGTTCCTATCCCAGAGGGTAGACTGTTTTTCTGAATCCTTCCAGAGATGTACTCTGCATATATGAGCATATATATATATGTCTGCACATGTGTATTTTTACATGACAGCATATCACCACAGTATGTGTGTTCTGCCCCTTGACACACACACACGTATGAGAGAAAGAAAGACATATGTTTATCTATCTATGATTATTCTAAACTGGCTTATATAGATCTAACTTGTTATTTTTAAAGGCTACCCTTTATTCCATTTTCAGATGCACCATGGTTTATTTAACCCACCCTCTATGGGCGATAGTTAGGTTATTTCTCATCTCTTGCCAGTACAAACAATGGGCATTGAATAACCTGCCTTTTGCTCGTAAACACAAGTATATCTGTAGGCTCAATTCTTGGAAATGGAACCATTGGGTCAAAGGGCATGGGCATTTAAAATTCTGATTCAGTTGTCAAATTGCCTTCCGGGGGTTGTACCAATTTTCTCTCCAACCCACAGTATAGGAGAGTGCATGAGTCCCCACGGCCTGGGAACATCATCCCACTTTTTGATCTGTGCCATCTCCTAGTCCTTGGCACCCTGAGTAGGTGAATGGTCCTCATTATTATTGTTGATGGAAACACTCAGGTGTGGGAGTGGCCCTTGGGCACTGGAGCTCCGTGAACGCTGCTTTGCATGCTCTTTATCATTCCAGTTATTCTTGAGTGAAATTTCTCAGGAACATTAAGGATCAAGAGGGTGAGAAGCTCCAGTGCTCCAGGCAGCTCTGGTACAGCTTGTTCGCTGTCGCTGTAACAGAATCAGCTGTCTGAAATACACACCTGTCCGCTTGCTCTTCTCTGTAAAACTTTCTGTGGCTCACATTTCTCAAGGTTCCTGGACCAGCAGTGCCAGCATCCCTTTGTCTGGTTGGAAATGTACCTTTCAGGCCCCTCTGCAGACCTACTGAATCAGACACTCAGGCGGGGCTCAGCTCTCGGGGCCTTCAACCAGCCCTGGGGCAATGCTGCTGTGCCCTCAGGTTTGCAGCCACTGACTTACAGAGTGAAGTGGCCCCCACCACGTGGCTCCAACCCACCTTTCCTGCTGTATTTCCTTCCCCCTCCTACAACTTCGAAACACACCTAGCTACTGACTGCTCAAACCTCCCTCCACTTTCTCACCTCTGTGCTGGGGGCAGAAACCTCTAGGTGTCCCCCACTTTCTTATAGAGCAATAGAAGCTTGCATTTGAAAAGGGCATTTCCCAGCCTCCCTTGCAGCTGTTTTCTGGCAAATGGGATGTGAACGGAAGTGAAGTGCGCAACTTCCGATTTGTGCCATCAGAAGAAAGGGGCAGGCCTGGCCTTCTGCTTGCCCACTCCCACTGGCTGGAAGGCAGATGGGATGGTTCTGGACCACGCCAATGGATGAGGGTGGGACCTCAAGTGTGGTGGAGCCTCAGGAGGGGTGGGTCTGGGTCTCTGATATTATGGGACCATAGGAGCCAGAAGACCACTTAAGCCTGGACTGTGATAATAGAAAGAGATACACTTGCGTTTTGTTCAGCCCACTGTTACCTGAGTCTGCATGAGCACAGCTGACTGTCTTCCCTAACACAATACCTTTGGGTGTGCTCTTCCTCTACCTGCCTGGCAACAGCCTTCTCTTTTCTTTGAAGGACAGAATCAAGTGCACCTCCTTTCCCTGATCCAGGAGAGGCAATTTCTCCCCATCAGGCTCATTTCACTTCAGAATCCCTGTTTCCGGCCAGCATGGAGTCACACCATTTCCCCACGAGAGCAGGAGCTCCTTACGGAATATTCCACAGTCTGCTTCGGTGTCTGATGCAAAGTGGATACCAGCAGACATTTTCCAGTGGCATTTGTAACCCAGCTTCTGCGTTTTTCTGTGCTTCCTGCTAAATTGTGCTTTGATGAATACCTTGGATGAGAACTGGGAAATTTGTTGTCTGGAATGGTGACTATGTAACTGAGCAGGACCCTATGGGCCTTCCTGGGACAGACCCCTCCCCTGTATCCTCTGCTGTAGCTCCTCTGAAGTACCCAGATCATAGTATCTCATGCATATGTCCTGAGTTTCTTGGATGCTAAAAACCACCACCCAATGGAAGAAATTAACTACTTGATGATCATGAGCAAGTGGCCCCCAGACCTTCTGGCACCTAAAGATTGATCACTATCAGTCAATCAGATTATGCACAGCTGATCACAGACTCTGGGATGCCCCTGCCTCAGCTGTCCTTTAAAAAGGCTCAGCTGAAATCCCTTAGGGAAGTGGGGGTTTGGGGGGCATAAGCCACCTGTACTTCTTGCTCAGCCCAGCAATAAACCTTTCTCTGCTCCAAACTCTGATGTGTCTGTTTGGCCAATCTTCCATTTGCTAACAATGAGAACACTCTTTTCCTCTTTCCAGAGCAGCTGTGGACTGAGTGGACTGAGCCTGCCACTAAGGAGGGCTTTGGGGATGACCTAGGAAGTAAGGGGTACAAAGGTAAGAAGTCAGGAGGGAAGAATTTGTTGTGTGTCTGCACAGCCCACAAAGCCCCCACCTCCCTGTGCTTAGACTGAATGGGGTGGAGAGGCCTCCAGGTCGAGACTTGTGAAAACCGTGACACAGCGAGACCTTTATCAAAAGGCCACTCAGTCATTGCAGACTCATGTCTCCTGCTTTGGGAGCCGCTGCGTTTCTCAAAACAACGTTGTTCCATGAGACTAAGCACTCCCAGAACACTCTGACCTTTACTCGGACTCAACTAGAAGTCTAAAGTAATATATTGTCAACCAGATTGGTGATATCTCCCCACCCCACATACCCTCTCCCTCTCCCTCTGTCCCTTCCTCCCCTTCTCCTTCCGTTTCCTTTCTCATCCCCCTCCTCTCTCTCTCTCCTCCAACGAGGGCTAACAAATTGTTACCATCCCATTGGTTCATCAAATATTTATTCAGTATCACCTTTAGCCCAGGCCGTGTACAAGGCACGTGTAATACAACAATGAAAAAGATGCTCTGCATCTATCAAAATTCATCATATTGTACATCTGAAATATGTGTAGTGTACTGTACAGGAATCATACCACAATAAAGGTGTTAAAAAAAGACAAAATGAGAAGAACAGTGATACTAGGGCCAAGATTTCATACCCTTGATTAATAAGCCTTAAAAATGACAATTAAAGCTTCTGACAGTAAGCACCAAAAAGAAAAAAAGAAAAAAGAAAAAAAAATATGCTGTCTCTGTCCTTGCTCATTGTGGACCAATGATCACAAAAGTGCAGGAGTTTCCAAAGTGTGGTCCTGGGACTCCTGGGGGTGGTCCCTGGGTTCCTTTTAGGGGAGCTGTATTATTTTCATAAGAATACTAAGACATTCTTTGCCTCCTTCATTCCCAATTTTTCATGTGTACCGTGGAATTTTCCAGAGGCTGCATGATGTGTGACATCACATCATATTAATGTAAAAGCAGATATGAGAATCCTGTTGTCTATGAGGCCAGACATTAAAGACACTTGTACATTTTCAAAACATTATTACACTTCTCACTAGTTTTTGAAAACATTGTTCCTAAAATAAACATGCTTTGTTTCTTTTAATGAATGATGGGTTTATTATTGTTCTAAAGATAATTTAATAAATAAATATGTCTCCATTTTAATTTTGAATATAGTAAATACCAATTGACATAGCCCACGTGAACAAAATCTCTTTGAGGTCCTCAATTCTTTTTCAAACTTCTTATTTTGAGACCATTGCAGGTTCACGCGTTGTTTCAAGAAATAATACAGAGAGATCTGTGTACCTTTCACTCAGCTTTCCCCAGTGGTAGTATTTTGCGTAACTTTAGTACAACATCACAACAAGGAAATTGGCAGTGGTACAATCCACCCATCTCATCCAGATTTCACCAATTTTACATGGATTTGTGTGTGGGGGGTGTTTAATTCTATGCAACTGTATGACGTGTAGCTTTGCGTGGCCACCACCACAGTCAAGGTACAGAACATGTGCTTCCCTTTTGTAGCCCCAGCCACCTCCTTCCCTCTCCTCTCCCTAACCCTGGTTCTCCCTCTCTATAATTTTGTCATTTCAAGAATATTATATAAATGGAATAATACATTATGTAGCTTTTTGAAGGTGGCTTTCCCACTCAGCATAATTCCCTTGAGATCCATTCAAGTTGTTGCCTGTATCAATGGCGTTTCCCTGCTGTGGCTGAGTAGTATCCCAGGTATGATGGAAGGGCATTCAGATTGTTTCTGCCTTCTGCTATTATGAATAAAGTTTCTATGAACATTCATGTACGGGTTCTTGTGTGATCATCCATTTCCACTTCTCTGGAATAAATGCCCCGAAGTACAGTTGCTGGGTAGTATGGTCAGCACATGCTCGATTTTGTAAGGAGTCACCACATCGTTTCCTGAGTGGCTGTACCGTTTTATATTCCTACCAGAATGTAGTCTAATCTCTCTGCATCTTCACCAGCACTTGGTGTTGTCACTATTTTTTATTTGAGTCATTCTGATAGTTGTGTAGTGCTATCTCACTGTGATTTTAATTTGCATTTCCTGACGGTAATGATGTTGAAAATATTTTCATGTGCTTATTTGCCAAGTGTTTCTCTCTCTCAGTGCAATATCTGTTCAAGTCTTTTGCCCATTTTTGAACTCGTGAATTTTGAGAGTTCTTTATGCATTCTAGATGCCAGGCTTTTGTCAGATAGGTGGTTTGCATGTTTTCTCCCAGTGTTTTTGTCCTCTTCACAGGCTCTTAGAGCAAAAGATTTTCAGTTTGAATGATCCAGTTCATCTTTTTTTCCCTTTACGGATCATGCTTTTGGTGTTCAGTCTAAGAACTCTTCACCCAGCCCTGGGTCCCAAAGATTTTCCTCTATTTTTTTTCTCTAAAAGTCTTGTGGTGTTACATTTTTACATCTAATCTTTAATCCATTTTGAGTTATTTTTGCATTAGTTGTGAGGTTTAGGTCAAGGTTTGTTTGCTTATGAATATCAATAATTTCTAAGAGATCCTGAGACTAAAGATTGAAATATTACAGTAAGGTGTATGAGGTTCTCTAAGACAGGTATGTGCAAAGTGCTGTGGGAAGGTTAACTTTGATCAAGGCGGCTCTGGAAGACTTCCCAGAGAAGCTGACGTTGGAGTTCTGCTTTGGAGGATGGATAGGATTTTTACCAAGCAGAGGAGAAATCTTGTTGCTTTTCTCCTATAGCCAGATATTCTCAGTGATGAGGTTAATTCTGAAAGAGGGAGGTGTGGAAATAAAGGGGACCTAAGGAATCAGGCAGACTTTAATTGAAATCCTTCTTAGCTAGCAAAGTCACCCTCCCTAAGCTTCTGTTTTCTTACCTGTAAAGGTGGGGAAATAATTCTTTCTTTTCAAAGAAACTGTGAGGATAAATGAGATGTGTGTAAGCTTTCCAGCTTGGTACCTGACACATGGTCACCACCCAGTGAATTACCTCCTCTCCCCCTTTCATGAGTCCCTTTACCTTTCCTCCGTGTGCTGGAGTGAGATCCTTCCTTCGATGTTTTGCCTGTACTTGGTTTTATTCTCCCCCATCTGGATAGTACTTTAGATGAGTGGCTCTTTAACCATGTATCAACCATCACAAGGCTGATACTCAATATTTAGTCATGTAGGACCTCTTAAAAACAGATAGCAGAACTTCTGATTTAGTAGGTCTGGGGTAGGACCCGAGAATTTGCATTTCTTACAAGTTTCTGGTGCTGCTGATGCTGCTGGCCTAGGGACCACAGTTTGAGGACCACTGTTTTAGGTATTCCCAGTCATTGCCTCAATAAACTGTGTAGAAGGAATCAAAACATCCACGTTCTGTGTGCAAATGGATTTTCAAGGAAATCCCCTGTTGTGTTTGTTTTCAAAATTCACAGAAAACTCAATGGGGAGACCTCTGGTTTTAAGATGGCTGAGTTTTGCTTTGTTTTTAATTTTGGCAACAAAACAAACAAACAAAAAAACATACATACCATTAGATTCAGTATCTTCACCAGTCTTAAATGTACAATTTGGTATTGTTAAGCATATTCAAGGGTGCCTGAGTTTTGTTTCTATCCTGTTCTCTTCTCCTTAAAACCTTTCCAGACAGCAAGGACAACATGCAAACAGCCTCTCTATCTTTGATGACACCAGGAGACATCTCCAACCCTGAAGCACAATAAATGAAGACAGGAACTGAGTCGGGGAGTGACAAACGATTTGGCAAAATGGAGGCGGGGCCGCCATCCTGCTTAAGGAGGGGTGTATATCGAGGAAGAGCCCATCACCCTGGAATCCTGGGAGGCCAGGAGTTGGCAGAACCAGGTAGTGAGGGAGGTGGAGGTGAAGGAGGAGGACTGACCTAAAGTCTCTTTTGCGGGGCCTTTTGACCCCTTGCAGTAAGGCACTTCGTTCAGAGGATACTGGGGATCTAATCTCTGAAGTATTTGAACCTGAGAGGTTCCAGATTTAGTGGCCACAGTCCAGCAGAGGGAAAAGACAGAGGCCTGGTGGGGGCTGAACTAGACTTAGGGGTTGACTAAAAAGCTGCACCCTGAATGCTGACACCCCCAGTCCGTTCCCAGCCACGTTTCAGAATATTTACATCTAGGCTCATTAAAGCACCTCCCTACCCCAAGCAGTAGATTGGAGCTTCCTTTATAGAGAAACCCAACTGCCCCAGAGAAGAGACCAGGTATTGTGACATTTAGGGGCTTCCGGGGGAAAATCTGTCTGGGCACTTAGTTGCCTGACAGTGAAGCACATCACTTGTGAAGCCCTCTCCAAGCTTGTGAAGCTTTCGGTCAGCTTTCACTTGCTTCACTTTGAAATAAAGATCATTAATCACTTGAGGTATGTTTCCAGTCTGAACAAGAGAGCCCCGAGACAATACTGCTGCAGTGGCAGTGCTTTGCCATGATGGCCACTTTGGACTTCTCTTGGCCTGTTTGGGCATCTGTGAATGAAAGATTGACTTGTGTAAAGGATTCTTAACCAGGGGTCCCTGGACAGCAGGTGCCAGTTTCTGCGTGTGTGTGTATGGGCTCAGGTCTAGGGTAGAACCCATCAGATTTTTGGGGGGTCTAAGATACAATAAGAAGTGATGAACTGCTTATTGGTTGGATTTCTAAGCTCTCTCCCTGGGTTTGTTTCCCCATATATTTTGCCCTCTCACGCCTCCAGAACTCTGTATACACAGGTACTTTGTTTTGAACACTTTTCCTTTATAGTGGAGTTAATTCCTGCTCTTCCTTCCAGCCTCATCTGAAATATCGGGTTTTCCCGGAAGTCTCTCCTGATCCCCAACCTCCCTTCAGGGTTGAATGATCACTTGGTGCTTCCCCAGACTTCTGTGCACTGCCTTCATCCCTTTTAGAGGGATATGTCTGCTGCCTCTGGATGCAAAAGCCCTTCTTCTTCTCCCAACAGCTTGGCTGGAGAGCTGAGTAATAATATCCTGGCAGCACCCGCTTGCCCAGTCCCAGGATAAAATACTTGTTAATTGGGCTGAGAGCTGAACTGGATAGGTGCTCAGGAGTAAATCAGCTCAGACCTTTGAGTTACACTTCAAAGCTCAGCAGAAGGCAGAGTGAGCTGGCTGGAGAAAGAAACAGGGAAAGATAGGGCAATTATTAAAACGCTTTTTGTCTCTGTCCTCAGGTTACCTAATCAGGCTGGGCTTACTGAGGCTCTTCTGAATACTGTGAACTTAAATTTAAACTTGGTGAAGGGAAGTCAAGGTCAAGGTAGTACCTCCGCCCTCTAATTCAGCACCAGATGCTAGCAGCTGTCAGGAGAAAGGCATGAAGTGTCCAGCCCTAACCTACATGATATGTGGAATAGATACTTTTGGGGGGTGGGGGCAGCCTGCATCTGAACGCTTTTGCTATATATTTGGAGAATTTCTCACATTATGAGTCTTCATGGAAGGCAGAGACCACTTTCATTTCTGTTACAGGGTTTTCCATCTCAAACATTTCTTTTTCATTCTTTCTTAGAATGTCCCTCTCTCTGCTTTCCTTGCCCATCTGTTCTTGCATGTTGCCGACTTTTTCCATTAGAGCCTTTAGCATATTAATCAATGTTATTTTATGTTCCCAGTCTGGTCGTGCTAACACCTCTGTTCTATCTGCGTCTGATTCTGATGTTTTCTCTGTCTCATCAAACTGTGTTTTTGCCTTTTTACTTTGTTGTTAGGACAGAGTGACAACTCTTCTTAGTCCCTTACATGCTGGATTGGAAACTGGAAGTCAATGATTTTTTTAGATTTTTTTAATTGTATAAAATATACATAACATGAAATTGATCATTTAACCATCCTTAAGTGTCCAATTCAGAGGCATTACGTACCTTCACATTGTGGTGCAACCATCACCATTGTCCATCTGCAGAACTTTCTTATCATCCCAAACTGAAACTCTGTTTTTATGAAACAATAACTCCCCATCATGTAGGTGCTAACTTTTATGTTACTGTTGATGCTGCTCTTATTATTTCATAGTGAACAATTTCAGTTGTTCTACTAGGATGTTAGGCATCATTTTTTGGAACGTGTTTGGGCTGGAGCATCATAGCATTTTTAAGAAGGGAGCTGATGGGATCAATGTGTGTGTTTTAGGAAGGAAGAGTCAGTAATTGGGAAAAACTGAGTGCTGAGCATGATGTTGATCTTCCTTCAAGTCAGAGCTGAGCAAGTTGCCCTGAAAGTCTGTCCTAAATGGAAACATTGATCAGTGTAACTGTCCTGGGTTCTCACTGACTTCATTTCACCAGTGTTGTTTTATTGTTTCATCTGCCCAGGAATGGAACTTTGAAACTCCCAGAGAGAAAAATGGGAAGATTCCATGTTCTAATCTCATTTCTAAACGTAATTGGTGCCTGACTTACTGAGCACTCTGCTTCCAGAGGCCATGTTAACAGAGCCATTTATCCTCCTCTTCATCCAGGTGGGCCAGCGTGCCCTGTGATGCATGTCTATTGCTCCAGCAATGGAGACGTAGTGCAGTTGGTACAACCTTTCTGGAGGGCAGTTCAGCAGTATGTATCAAAATTTTTAATTTGTAGAAACTTCAAGCCAGCCATTTTCAAGGATTTAATTTAGCTCAAAGAAGTAACTGGACAAATGGGTAAGGATGTTTGTACAAAGATGTTCAATGCAGCTTTGTTTATAACTGTGAGAAGTTGGAAACATTCTAAATGTCCAACAATAAAGGACAGTTTACATCAATGATGGCATCCACAATGTCATATTCACCATGTAACTGTTGCCAAAGATGAGATAGAGGTGTGGGGGGCAGGGAGCCTCCACAGTTTTAAAGCATATCCTTCAGATACCCTCTGGTGAATGTTGGAAAAGCATTTATACTTACATCCCTAAAACTCAGTAGAACATTTCAAACCAAATTACCTAGAAGAAAAAAAAGTTTCCCACTTTATCCCAAAAGAATTGATAAATCAGAGTTGCATGTAGACGTATTGAGAACCAAGTGACCCAGACCTTCCGGGACCAAGTGCTTCTGGTTGATGAGTGCAGTAGAAGTCGCTGGGTGAGACTCCCAGGAAGGCTTTTATAGAGGAACAGACCCCATTTTCTTGACTCCTTTGGCCTTTTTGCCCCTTTCTCCATTCTTCCTGCCTGGAACATTGCTGTATTGCCTAGAAATTCAGCACACATCAAGCAACGCTGAGGCTACAAAGCCTGAAGATGAAAGTCTTTGTAGTCTGACAAAGAAGGGGTATGCCCAGGGCTTCTTGTTACATGAGACATACAAGCCTTTTAGTTGTTCGTGGCTCTTTTCTCATATCTTCCACCGTATGCTTCCTGATACAGTTGTTTTCATGTTCCCTCTTTCTCTTTCTAAAAGCAAATGAAATAAAAATTATGTACTAATAAATATACCCGGATGGATCTAATAGTAGAAGATACAATTTAAAAAAATCAACTGAGGGATAACAAAGAGTTTTTGCACCTTGGCTGTTGGTAGCAGAGAGAGAGGCTGTGTTACCGGACCCTAAGCAAATATTTAACACCCAATTTAATTGTGCATGATCTAGAAGTGATGCTAAGCATCTTACATCCTAACATGATAGTTTAAAATATGTATGTATATATACATTTTACTGAATTTTAGTAAAATTTCAGAAAATTGTTTGAGGGTTTTGAGTTTATGTGTATATAATTTTTCTTATTTAATAGGAATAGGTTTCCTTTTGGCATTTTCATTAAGAATGTGTGTTTTTCAGGACCTGATTACTGATATTAAGTGAGATATGCCAGGACTAGGAGGGAACCCTGCTGCCCCAAAGCCATTTCCTCTAGTGGGCTTTCTGGTCCCCAGTTCCAGTTTCACCCTTTCCCTCCCCCAGGGCCAAGGATCTGCCTACCTTCAGACCCTTGTAGGGGCTCCAGACCTGACCACATCTGGCACAGCCCTGGACCCCTTGCTCCTGCAGCTGAGCTGGGCCTTCCCCCTTCTAGGATCTCCCCAATCTGGGGAGAGTAGCTACTTCCCAGATTCGCAGCCAGAGCCCCGCAATGCCTCACCTGTTCTGAGTCCTTCCTTCTGACAGTTGATCCCCCTCAGCAACCAGAATTGGGGGTGGGAACAAATAAGCAAGAAATGTACAACTACAGTGAAAGTTAAAAAAAAAAAACTAAGTTAAAAAGCAGGTTATATAGGTGCATGAAAACATGCTCAGTATCGCTAATTATCAGAGAAATGCAAATCAAAACTATAATGAGGTATCACCTCACACCTGCTCAGAATGACCATCATTAAAAAGTCCACAAATGATAAATGCTGGAGAGGGTGTGGAGAAAAGGGAACTCTCCCACACTGTTGGTGGGAATGTAATTTGGTGCAGCCACTATGGAAAACAGTATGAAGATTTCATAAGAAACTAAAAATAGATTTACTGTATGGTCAAGCAATCCCACTCCTGGGTATATATCTGGAGAAAACTCTAACTCAAAAATATACATGCATCCCAATGTTCATAGCAGCACTATTTACAATGGCCAAGACATGGCAGCAACCTAAATGTTCATCTACAGATGACTGGATAAAGAAGATGTAGTGTATATGTGTATATATATACGTATGTGTACACACACACACACACACATATACACACAATGGAATACTACTCAGCCATGAAAAAGAATGAAATAATCCCATTTGCAGTAACATGGATGGACCTAGAGATTATCATACTAAGTGAAGTAAATCAGAAGGAGAAAGACAAATATCATATGATATCACTTACACATGGAATCTAAAGAAATGACACAAATGACCTTATTTACAAAACAGAAACAGACTCACAGACATAAGAAACAAATTTATAGTTACCAAAAGGGAAAGGGGGTAGAGAGATAAATTAGGAGTTTAGGATTAGCAGATACAAACTACTATTTATCAAATAGATAAACAGCAAGGTCCTAATTTATAACAGAAAGAACTACATTGAATATCTTGTAATAATTTAAAATGAAAAAGAATATATATGTGTGTGTGTGTGTGTGTGTGTGTAACTGAATCACTATGCTGTGCACCAGAAACTAACACACCCTTTTCCTTTAGAAGCCTGATTCTATTTAACTTTTACATTTACGTCTGTGATCCACCCCACATTAATTCTTATGTATGGTGTGAGGTAGAGATTAATTTTTTCCCCATACATATTATTTTCTGTATGGATATCTAATTTCTCCAGCACTGAATTGCAGCAGCACCCTTGTTGTAAATCAAAAGGACATACATGTTTGGGTCCATTTCTGGACTCCCAGTTCTGTTCCACTTGTCTCTTTGTCTGTCCTTGTGTCAGTACCACCCTGGCATAATTACTATAGCTTGGTATTAAGCATTGACACTTCACAGTGTATGTTCTTCTTCAAGATTGTCTAAGCTGCTCTAGGTCCTTTGTATTTCCATACACATTTTAGAATTGGCTTGATAATTTCTACACATAAACTTCATAGGAATTTGACTGTGATTTTGTTAAGTCTATAGGTACATGTAAGGAGGATTGACTTCACAGTATTGAGTCTTCCAATCTATTTATTTAGATTTTCTTGATAGCTTTGTTGAACATCTGATTTTATTTAATCAATCCTGGAGTTACTTTATCTTTTTGTTAATATATAACAAGATTATATAAATGTATTTATATATATATATATTTACTGCCTAAGCCATTTTTTTTCCTGATTATTTGCAGCTAAAAGCACCTGAACTACTGTAACAAATTTGCCCTGTAGTGTGATGGATTAAGTGGAAAGCTTGAATCTATGCTATTCCCTGTGTGACCATGGTAAGTCGCTTAACCTCTCTGGGCCTATTTCTTTATCTATGGAAACCTCATAGGGTTGGAAAGTTCTTCTCCTTTTTACAAACTAGTGAAGACGGATTCTTTTTTTGGTCTCAGCTGAAGTATCATTTTCTTGGGGAAGTCTTCTCTGATTCTTCCAGTAAAACCTAGATATTCTTTTTTTATACCTGCCTTTCAAAGCAATCAGTACACCGTAATGTCATTGTTTGCATGTTTGTCTCCATCAGTCCTGTACTAATCAGGGAACAGAGGGTGAACTTAGAGGGCTTAATTAAGAGAGTTTAATGAAGAGACAATTATAGAGGGATAGACAGGATTAGGGAAATCCATAAGGTGGGATGAGACACCCCAGGAACTAGCCACAGAGGCAAGCCAGTACCCATCTTGGGTCTGAAGGATGGAGATGAAGGAAGTGTTACTGGAACACAGTGAGACCGATCGCTGTGGAGGAGAGGCTGTCCAGCAGATGCTATGCGCTGCAGGGGAACATGGCTACCAGGAGAACCATGCTCAGGTGAAGGCGAGAATACCCCACCCCCTCTCCCACCCTCTGATTTCCTTCAGCTCCCATTTGGAACAACCCAACCAGAAGACAGAAGGCAAAGGGGACCAGGTGGTACAGTCTGTAGCAGCCAGCCTCCTGGGGCACAAAGTCCAGCAGCAAGAGGCAGAACACGGATATAGAAGAATTAGGTAATGGTCAGGATACTCACCTTCAGTATAAGCTTCTTGAGAATGGACACCAAGTCTCTGAAAAAAGTTACCACAGGTTTTTATACACCTGTTACAAAAATCCACACATCATAGAAAATAAAAGACCCTCTATGATCCCTAGAAATAACCAGAGCTAACTATTTGTTACATAATATTGCAGATTTTATGGACATACACTTTGAATATGTGGGTCTGTGGAAGATCGTCTTTCCAAAAATGACCACAGCAATGTTTCCAGTCTCACATGGACTTTCTGATATTGCCAGTCCCCATGAGGTAAATCGATTTCTGCTGACTTTGAACCTGGGGAAGGCGTTGTGATTGCCTTGACAGATGGAATGTGGCAGAACTGGTGCTGTATGACTTCCAAGGTCAGGTCATAAAAGGCAAAATGGATTCACCTAGAAACCTCTTTTGGGGGACGCTTACCGTGGGAACCCAGCCACTAGGTTGTGAGGAAGCCCAGGACATGTGAAGAGGCCACGGGCACGTGTTCTGGCTGATGGCCAGCTGAGGTCCCAGGGGACGGTCAGCGTGACTTGCCGGATAAGGGAAAGAATGAGCCTCCAGGTGATTCCAGCTTCCGGGGTCAGAGCCGCCTCAGCCGACACCACGTGGAGCCAAGGTACTTACCCCCCTGAGCCCTCCCCAGATTGAAGATTTATGGGCAAAAGAAATGTTGATTTTCAGCCACTGGGATTTTGAGTAATTTTTATATGCACCTAAGAACTAGAACAGAAGCAATGTAGGGGGTTACGATCTCAGACTGTGGAAGCAGACTTCTTGGTTTCAATGTGATCTCTCACTTACTCCCTGTGTAATATTTGGCAAGGTGCTCAAATTTGATTCCTCAATTTCTTCCTCTGTAAAATGGGAATAAGGACACAAAAAAATCTCACCAGGTGGGCTTGGTGGGGATAAGTGACTAAGACAATTAGCTTAGTTCTCAGCACGTACCTAATTATTATCATTATTGATCATGGATTCCCTCAAAGACCACCAGGAAATTTGGTGATCAAATAAAGCTGAGTTTATTATTTCATTTTTTAAATGGAGGTACTGGGAATTGAACCCAGGACCTTGTGCATGTTAAGCATACGCTCTCCCACTGAGCTATGCTCATCCCCTGAAACTAAGTATATTAAAACTTACCACACAAAGGGAGAAAAACACTTGGATAAAGTCTTAGTGGTATCTCTAAGTGAAGGCATTAGGGAGGGATACTTACAGTTTTAAAGGCTGCACTGAGTGGTTTTAAGGTGGGTCATATAAGGCAGGTAACTGGTTGGGATTGGGCAGATTTTGTAAGAGCTTTGAATTGGTGAATGCAGAGGGGCAAAGGCCTTGAAGTGAGTCTAAATGAGCATGTTTTAATAAGTAAGGTGTTTCATTTTTATCGGGTCTTACCTTCAAAGAGCAGGTAGTTCCTGGAGCAAGCCCCTAAGCTATTGCTTGGTCCCAGTGTTATTTAACACAGGGACAGAAAAGTGTGTCATTTTCAGGTCTCATTATTATAATTTTTTGTGAAATAGGGCTCATAGTCTATGCTAGCTATTTTATTGAAACTCCCTTTTTCACTGAACAGCATATCTTAGATATCATTCCTTATCAGAACATGTCAATTAAGTTCATTCTTTTTAACATCGGCTTGATATTCACTTGTATGGCTGCATCATGCCTTGTTTGCTGTTTCACATATCAACAGGTGCCTAGTGTGTCTAAGTAGTGGGGTGGGGGGCCCAGACCCTTAGGACAGTGCCTGGCACAGAGCAGGCACTCAGAAAGAATTTGTAATTGAAAAGAGAGTGAACATGAAATCTATGAAATGCCATATACATGTACAGTGAGGATGGATGGTTGGACTCCCCTCATTACTGCATCCTAGCCCACTCCACTTTTGTCACCTGTGTTAGGGATCATCTCAGGATGCACGTGGCATGGAAGAGATCGATCCAGGGGTCCTTATGTGCTCACGGTAAGAGTTTGCTGAGAGGCATGAAAAACAGTGAGCGTGAGGAGCGGTAGGGTGACCAGCGAGGCAGGCTGGATGGAGATCGCAGCTGAGACTCAGAGGGGCTCAGGTGCCCAGGAGAGTGGTGGTGGCGTTGGGTCAGTGCTGGAGGGAACAGGGTTTCAGTGGCTCTGGACGTCAGCAACTCATGCCATCAGGCCCCCACTGATCGACCAGGCAGAGCAAGGGGTACCTCAAGACACCAGCAAGGACTCAAAGGGGCAGTAGGAGGGCCTCCTCTTCCCTTTGCCATGAGGACATTTCCCCTACATCCAGATGTCATCTGCAAGAGAAGGAAGCCAAGGAAGAAACGTTTGAAGAAAAACAGGCAGCCCCGTAGACACATTTATGAAAATGCAGCTGATACAAGATGAAGGTAGAAGTTTTTCAACCAGAGGTGGTACCACACCGACAGGGGACATTTGGAAATGGGTGGGACTTTTTCCCCCTCTTTTTTTTCCTGAAAATTTTCAAACAGAAAAGTTAACTAGAGTAATTGAACAAAATACACATATATCCATCCCCTAGATCTGGCAGTTGTTATGGAGTTTGGGGATTTTTTTTATTTTTGGCCATAATTTTTTATCTGTTGTTTTTCTGAAGTAGTTTAAAGTAAATTACAAACATTCTGACATTTCACCCCAAATGCATCTCTGAAAAATTAAGAACATTTTTCTGCATCATGCGAGGGTGTTCTTGGTCTACAGTGGGGAAATCTTCTGGCAGTTATGTGGGCGAAGGGCAGTGTGGGGTTCACTTCGGCCCAGGGAAGAATCATCTGGCCCAGAGCTCTGCCCGTACCATCTTGGAGAGCCTGCTCCATAGAAAGACACGTGTGTGTGGGAGTGTGTGTGGGAGTGTATGTGGCGGCGGGGAATGCTAGCCTAAATTTACTCAGTTTATATATATGTCTTTATTATAAAGTCCCCCATAAACTGATAAAATGTGGGCACACACACACACACAAGTTACAAAGAAACAGTAGGAAAAAAAGCACCTATAAACTCAACCTCCAAGATCAACCCCTGTGAACACTCTGGCTTATTTCCTTCTAGTCTCCATCTTTTTAGATAGTTGAGATCATACTCTGCATATATGTATACAGTTTCCTACCTTAGAAAGCTGTACTTTGAGTTGGTTATTTAAATCTCCTGACCCCTGTCCACTAGCTACAACCTTGAAAGGTGGGGAACTGAAGAGCAAGAAGAGATCTGTTTCTGGAATGAAAAATAGGCCACATTTTTTAAAAAATGGGCCTAATAGGTGATTCATTAATTTCTCCACCCTACCTACTCATGGCTTCAGTTAATCCTCAGAATGACTTTAGGATGGAGAGCTTATCATGCCCACTTTCCAGATGAGATGCCCAAGGCTGAGGGAGCATAGGAAGCCACCCAAAGATTCCACAGCCTGTGTGCTTATATAGCCTGGACTTACAGCCCGCAGTACAGCAGTCAGCTCCTTGACCAGCTCCAGGAAGAGGGAGGCAGGGATACTGGGGATGCAGAGTAAGCGCTTCAGCTGGGGACCGTGGGAGATAGGAGACTCACAGACTCTTCTGTGGAATCTTAAACAACAAGTAGGATTTATCCAATTTGGAGAGGGTTCCTCTTTCCTCCTTTGATCATCTACTTCTTGGTTGGGGCATGGCTCACCCATGTCTGTGTATGTGTGCCTGGGGCTGGTACTTAGATTGAAAACACAACTGCCTGTAGTGGATTGAAGATGGTTGCAAATCCTCTGACAGTCTTTGCATTCCAGAGGAGGGATCTATGTGCCTCCCCTGGAGTCTGGGCAGGTTCCGCGATTGCTTGACTGAGAGAACATTGTGGAAGTGAAATTGTGCCCATTTGCAGGCAGAGACCTTAAGAGACTGGAAGCTCCACATTCAGTCTTTTCACGTGTCTTAGCTGCCATGCTGTGAGGAAGCCCAGGCAGCCCTGTGGAGAGGCCCAGGTAGAGATAATGTAGGCTACTGGCCCAGAGGCCCAGCTGAACTCTTAGCCATCAGCTAGCACCAACCTGCTACCCATGGGAGTGAGCCATCTCGAAATGAGTCCTCCAGCCCTATGCTTCAGTGAGCAGAGATGAGCCAAATCTGCTCATCCCTTCCCAAATTGCAGATCTGTGAGCAAAGTAATGGGCTGTCATTTTAAGTCACTATGTTTTAGAATAGTTTATTAGGCAGTATTAGGTAACCAGAAAACCACTGTTTTCTGAGCTGAGCTAATAAGCCAAATAATCTGTGAAACCTTTCACGCAGGCTGTCTCCTTTAATCCTCATACTTCCCTCCAAGGTAAGAAAAACAGTAGCTAACATCTCTCGAGTGCTTGCTATATGCCTACTGCAGTTCAAAATCCTTTTCCTATGCCAATTCATTTAATCGTTCTGATGGCCCTGCTTCACAGCCTCTTAGCTTCATTTTATGGATACTGGTAGGGGGGGGTGCATATAGCTCAGTGGTAGAGCGTCTGCTTAGCATGCAGGAGGTCCTAGGTTCAATCCCCAGCACCTCCATTAAAAAAACAAAAACACTCTATGGATATGGAAAAAGGCACAGAGAAATTGGAGAACCTGCCCCAAATCATGCAGGAGGACTCAACTGTCTGATTGGAAAGCCAGCATTCCTAACCACTATAATTTTCTGCCTCTCAGCAGAGGGTTGAGAAGACTGAGTCTCAGAGACGGGAAGTGACTGCCTCAAGGTTGGATAACTAATGAGTGACTTTGGACCACTGATCCTCTGGGTTCCTCCATCGAAGCCACCACGGCCCTCCCAGCACTGACTGCCCTTTTAGGCTTGTCTCTGTGTGAGCTGTGGCTGGCTCCCAATCTCCAGTGGTATCCCCTAGCTTGATGTCCTTCCTGATTCTGCAGCTGTGGTACCCAGTGACCTTTGGCTGTTCCCGCTTGTTCAATTCCATCCTCAAAGCACAGGATTTTTCCAATGAAGAAAGTTCTTTAGAAGAATATGCCCCAGGCTCAGAAGGACTTTCTAACAGAACTTTCCAACATTCCAAGGATAGTCTGTGCTTGGAGCACTGCCTGGCTCCAGACCTCTCGCCCTTCCTGCTGGTCTCTGCCCACTCCTGCTCCTTCTTCCCTGTCTGCTTTGCAAATGAGGGATGGGGGTGAGCAGGGCAGGATGTCAAGGATGAGAGGAAGTGAATAGGAGCTCTACTGTCACACAGACTTGTGACCTAGGGCACTTATTTAACTTATCTGAACCTCTACTTACTTACCTGTAAAATGGGATTAAAAATTTATTTAGTATGTCACATGTAATTTGGGACAAATTTGCATGAGACATGGTTGTGCCAGAGTGGATTTATTTATTTACTTTAATGGAGGTACTGGGGATTGAACCCAGGATATCGTGCATGCTAAGCATTCAGTCTACTACTGAACTATACCCTCCCCCGCTTTCAGACTGTGTTCTTAGTTGTGGAATTTCTAAGCTTAGTTCCCTAGGCTTCCCTCTCCCAGTGATTCACTGGGTTAACAAATATCTTTCCAGTAAGTTCATTTTCTGCAGAAATTAGTCAAGATCAGTTCTGTTGCTTGCCACCACGTACCTGACTATACTGAACTCAGAAGGCCATTGTGAAGATTAAATGTAAAGAACTCCGCACGGGTCTTGGGACATCAGAAGCACCCTGTATTAGTCAGGTTCTGCTGCATATAATGGAAACACTTAGACCAGGTCAAGCCAAAAGAGACTTCATACAGGGGATATTGGGTGCTTGCAGGATTGTCAGATGTGCTGGGGGAGCAGGTTCTAGGTAGAGCTTCCAGCAGTGTCTCCCAGGA